GGGAATTTTTCTAGACATGTCCGGAAGAAATCGATTTTTTGGCCATTTTTGCGAAATTTGATAAGGGGTTACATCATTAAAATTAGCAAAAATGACCAAAAATTTTAATTTCTTAAAATTTTAAATTTGGTATGCAGTTTTTTTAAATTAACAAAAACTAACACAAAACTGCTTTCCGAATTGAAATTAATGCATTTTTGGCTTAGTTATGATATATTTTAATTGTTACCTGCAAGGGTATACAAACTTTGGCTGGCCAAAGTTAGCTTTCTTTCTTGTTTAAATATTCATATTAAATATATATAAAATTACAAACAATTTTTTCTAGTGCTTACTGCCACCCCTGAGCATATCCTGTATACATTTCCAGGTCCTGCAACTGTTCCTTTGACTGAATTAAGTGTGTGCGTGTGGGGAAAATGCCTCAAATATTGTTACTTGCTGCCATTGTTGCAATTGTTATCCCGTTTTTACTGTTGCTCCTTGTCCAAAAGGACACGATTTCGGGTGTGGCTAAAAAAAAAGGAAGAATCTCTCTGGCAAATCAAATGTTAGTCTCGCCTATCATAACATGGATTCATAATTAATTTTTGTGAAATTTCCAAGACTCATCAGGGTCAAAAGAAATGCGGCGGCGGCGGCGGCGGCAGGACTCAGGACGAATCCCGGGAGAGGCAACCTTTTTGGCCACTTAGTCTCAGTGTCAGCCACAAGTAAACAAGCAAACAAACAAAGACTGCCAACAGACTATAACGGTACTGGACTTTTGGGCGTGTTGGCCGGACAGCTGCAAGGATATTGACACTTTTCTTCGTCTCAGAGAGAGAGAGAGACGGAAAGACCTCCTCTTCCATCTAACCAAAACTTAGTCCTGCTCTAAAGGACATAACCATGCATATAAATTTGATTATTATTAAGTCGGGCACATTAGTGAGCATTTCTAATGAACGTAGAGAGATCCTTGCGGCCCGAAAAAAGGGTCAGCCCACAGACACACCCCTTCACACCAACTCCTCGTTTCATATAAGCCCACACACATGAGCTTGTTAAAGTCAATTTATAAATGCTCAGGTTTATGGTTTTAAGTATTTAAATATTTAGCACACTTCTTGGCCTCAGACTGCGGCTTCTGTTGGCCATAAAGGCTACTCATACACCTCCTTTGCGTGTGTGTGTGTGAGGCTTTTATTCATAATTTATGCCTCCGCAGGGCGACACTCACTCGAATGTGTGGAGGGTATGGGCAGTGAGTGCACTCATTAACTGAAGGCTGTCCTTAAAGCCAAATGAGCTTGTTTTAATTTGCACTGGTTCGGGATTTCGTGGATTTAATTAGGGTTTTAATACGAGTTTTTGGCTTAAATAAGGCTTAAAGGATAAGATACCTTAACTTTAGTTGACACAAAAGTCGATTTATAAATCAGAAATGGTTCATGTTCTTTACAATTCAATTCTTTACAATCATTTTAATAAGAGTTATTTATATTATCTCCAACAATTAAACCAGAATCAATCAGTCTAAGTGAAATGCATTTTCCAACCTTCAATCTCCTCCCCCTTCTTCCAATTGTGATGTTCAGCTTAGCGATTTCAATTATCGGGCATGTTAGGCGGGGGGTTGCATTTTCCTTTGCTACTTATTGGGGCAGGATATGTTGTGCTGCCAGGATAAGGGGTGGGTGGTGCAGGCGGCGACCGCCGATTAGCACGTGCCGCTCGTTGCGAGGAGGAAGAAACGGAGGAGGAATAGGCAAAAACGCAAGGACACGTGACCCTGAGCGCAGCTTCCGAAGATAAACATAATTATGCAAGCCGGCGGAGAGGGGCAAGGCAATGTTGGCCAATCTGATAACACGCAACGAGATTTGTCATCATCAAACAAAGTGGGCGTGAAAATTGCGGATGAACCAGATCCCAGGCAGCTCCCTGTTTCGGGAAGGATACATGGCAGGACTTCCTGGGCGGATGCAATCATGTACGCGGCGTGTGCGCGACATGGCCTTTGTTTGCCTTTCCCAGGGAAGCCAGAGAAATAGTCGAAAATAATTGCGGAGCAGTCAGGATAATGGAGATACTCGTGGGGCAAGTACATTATTATATAGTATATCTATATATCTGGCATATGCTAGTAGGATTTGTAATAATGCTTCTCTGCGAGAGTGGGCAGGATAATAATTCTGCATTCAGAAAGTGTTTCTTCAAATGCCACACAGCCTCCTCAATGCATTCTACTTTGTCTTTTGTCTAAGCTTAAGCACTGGGAAAAATTTAACATTTAACTGTAATATTTATTAAGTATTTTTACAAGTAAGTTAGGTATTAAATCAAAACTTTTTCTATATTTTTATGTATTAAAAAAAGCTTTGAAAAATGTATCTAACAAGGTAACCTACAATTACTTAGAAATGTCTAAAGATATCTTTGACACTCTTCTTATATCTTAAGTGTACTTCCCCTGACCGGAACGTAGTTTAGTATATCCTGGCAGCAACTCCTTTCCAGGCCTCGTCCTTGTTCGGCATTAAAGTTTCATTTTCATTTCATGCCCATGGCCACTTGGCATGCGAGAGAGCCACTCTTGACCTGGCTGAAAGGATACTAATCATAGTCCTGCCGCCATGCATCATCCTTTGCACATCCTCATCAGGTTGATTGCGAAAAATCACTAGAGAAATCAGAGTGAGCTCCGTGACACATCCCAAATTTCCATCCTTCTCTTTTTTTGGGTATTTTTAGGCGAAAAAAAACATACAAACAAACATTGAAAATCAATTTCGTAATCAAAGCTTTGTCATTTCGCAGTTGAGGGAGGTTCATTGTCATTCAGCGTCTCTTCTCTTCTCTTCTCTAAAATAAAATGCCAACAAATGTGAAACATTAAAATACAAATATAGAAAAATCCTCAGCTGTTTCAATTATTCATATTTTTCACAGGTCCCTGGGGTAGCGGGGAAATATGAATGAAGGCCAAAGAAAATGTACTTGAATTAACAGAAAATTCAAATTTATCAAAACAATTTGACTTTGTATACTTTGAAAACCGAAAATATCAAAGGAAAGGAAATTTAATTAAGAAAGAAAAAAAATCTAAAGTTATAGCAACAACCTATTATATAGAAAATAATTCAACAATTAAAACTCTTTGTTATACCAAATAATTGAATACTTTTTTACTTATATAAACACCAACCTAATGTATTATTTTTCGATGAAAACATAAAGCCAAATAATTGTTAACCAAAAAACTTCCACAAGGTCAAAACAATTTAATTAGTTGTTTATGTTTACTTATATTTTTTTCTCACCAAACCAAACTCTAAAAGTGAAGAATAATAAGGCCTGAAGCTCCGTTTTAAACAAAAATAGTTGGCCAATAAACAAGACCAGGAAGCTAAAAGAATTTCAGCTTTTTTTTTATTTAATTTCTACAGGACCTGTATGCCTTACTCATGTCCTGTCTGGCGATGAAAAAGTAGAGCAGGGGCTGGGTCCCTGAGTGTCCCAGGTCGGCTGTCAAACATAATCACCTTGCCAGCTTCCCCCCAGCAAACCTATATTCTCCGAGGAAATTTATGTTTTTTATTCGGTTTCGGGATGGACAGCAGAGACAAAAAGTCTGGCTGTGAATGAAATATATTATTTGGGTTTCTCCTCCCCCCTTTAGTTTATTTCATTTTTTAACACATTTTGTAATTTCAACACGTTGCCACGTACCGCAAAAGTTTCCTTTTGCCAAAGAGTGTCCACCACTCGGACTCGGACTTGGATCTGGACTGGAATGATTAATGGTTGGTTGCGGGACAGGCTCCGAGCTGGCTGGGCCAAATAATAAATCGTTCAAATCGGCTGGGGATTATTTTTCCGAGTAGGCGGACCAAGTATTTTGCTCTGTCACCATTTGCGGAAAAGGTTTTTCCTTTTTTTTGGCGAAAAACGTGTGCAAAATTTTGAAAATATTTGTGTACAAATGTCAGGAAACTTGTGGATTTCTATTAGATTAATATAAAGCCAAGGAATTGAATTTGTTGAGGGATGTCAAAGTGTCTAAGCTGGGGTGGAATATTAAGGGTATTTCTTACAAAATAAATATATATAAAAATATATAGCTCATTCATAAGCTAAAAACCCACATCAAAACTGGTTGCTGGGTTACCTAATGACTTTGCTTGGATTTCCTGGAATATATATGATAATGTAAAATTAAATAACAAGACTTGTTTTCATTTGCAAACAAAAACATGCCAAAAAAAAAAAGCAAAACCAGTTCAATTTCTAACGGAGCGTCATATTTTTGCTTAAATTTAAAATTCGCATAATATTATAATATTTAGGCGACGCATGCCGGCCATTATAATAATTTAACTAAATTAATAGTTGAGTCTCAACATCTGTTTAACCATTTCTTGGGCGGTGTAATCAGGTTATTGCCCCAAGAAAAACAGAAGAGGGGTCTCTCTCTCTCTTAACAAACGAATAGGGTCAAAAGCAGGGCCCAAGGCGGCGAGAGCACTTGGCCAAAAAAGAAATATACAGACTGAAGCTCACACGAATCCCCATGTACATAATGCGATATACAAATAAAGCGAAAACAAACAGAACTGAGATATACCAGCTGTCATGTATTCTTCATTAGCTTTTTCGGGGGGATTTCTTGAAATTTGCTGAGAAAAAATACCCGCGAGATAAATCGAGTTAAGAGAGAAGCTGTGAGTTTATTACAATCTATGAATCATCCGGTTCTAACTTTAGTTTTACGAGTTTAAGCCAGGTTTTAACTTTTAAAGAGGCATCATTTTGGTTTTTATTGCTGATTCTTTTGTTTATTGTGGTGGAGTTGTTTGCTCAGCTCTTTTTCTGCTGGTTTGACAGCTTCTCTTCCACCTTTATATATATATTTATTTTTTTTTCGATGATGATTTGCACTACGTCAGCGCTAGAAATTTCCATATAAAAGCCCTGTTGATCCGCAAAGCGCGTTTAGTCGATTTTGAACTTTTCACGCGTTCGCTGCCTCAGTCTTTCGTTCGTCTTTAACCGAGAGTGTGTGTGTGTTCCCGAGTGCTTAACCCCAGAAAGCTTAACCCCTACAAAAATGAAATACGCCGTGCTTGCCCTCGCTCTGTTTGCGGTCTCTGCCGCCTCGGCTTCTTCCGGTGAGTCGAAAGTTAATTGTAATTAAGTGAGTTTTAGGGGAGTGATTAGAGGCCTGGCCAAGTCTGCAATTACATCATCAACGTCCAAGGCTGTTTATCATCATGTTTATTATAAATTTGATTAACAAGTCGGCGGACGGGTACGACTTGTGGGGTTCGAGTATGTTAATAATAGTTATATACCCAAAAAAAAAATCTATCGAACTCCAAACCCAAACTGGTTTGTGAAATTTCGCTGCCTCATTAAATGTTCAAGCGACAATAATGTTTGCCCTGCGAAACTTTCCGCACATTAATTTTGGCTTTTGTGTATAATTATATTATAATCAAGCAATTCAAATTCGCATTGGGTTTGCACATTCACGCGTCTCAAGAGTGGACAAACTTTCACGTTTTAAATAGAAATTTCAGTAGGTTTTTAGAACTGCAAGTATGGGGGTATAATCTATATTTAACTAAAGAATTTATTGTATATAAATAGTAGGACCTAAAAAACTCATTAACAACAATAAAACATAAGGGTTTTATACTTTAATTTCATCTGAAAATGTTAAATATAGCAAATGCCTGTAGCAAACAATTGTTAAAGATTAATTTTAAAGGTTTTCAAGGTAGTTTTTCTAAAGAAAAAGTACATTAATATTACTTATTACTATTACAATCCATTTCCTGCATGTTTTAGCCATATATATATTTGGATTTTAAGAAAATAGTTCTTTATAATTTAGTATTAACCATTAAAGCCAGTTTTAAGCTTTTGCCAAGTCTTTGCAATGGATTAAGTCTTTATAAATTCTCAATTTAGGTGTTTACCTAAGGTAGAGATTTCTGTTATTACTTAAATTTTATCAAAATTATGTTCCTTATATATCCTCTAAAATTCAATATCGTAATTTTTCTAGCTGGCCAGTTCCTGCCTCGTGCCTTCTTCACCTTGGACTCTGAGGGTCATCAGTCGGATGTTCACCCGGTGAATGCCCATCTGCTGAGACGTCTGCGTCGCCAGGTGGTTAGCTCATCCTCCTCCTCCTCCTCCTCCTCATCTGGAACTGGCGGCAGTTACACCTTCTCCTCGCACTCCGTTCAAAATCCCGATGGTTCGGGACAGTCAGGCTCCTCCTACACCCAGCAGGCAGCGTCGGTTCCATCGGCGTAAGTTATCTTGCCATGAATCTTCTATAGTTACTAATGATTTCTTATTAATATCAGAGGCGTAAGCTTTGACAGCCGCTTTGGAGAGGACTCTGCCACCGGCAACTACAATCCTTCGTACAACAACGGTGCCTACAATACCGGTGTCAACAGTGGAGCCTATAACACTGCCTCCAACATTAACACCAATGCCGGATTTGGATCCCTCAGCAGCTCCCAGCAGAGCTACGGATCTGGTGCCGTGCCCTCCACCCAAATCCATCAGACTGTTACAACCATTGATGCTAATGGCAACCAAAAGGTGACCACCGTCCATGGAGCCACCGATCAGTCTGGTGTCCTGAATGTGCAGAAGAACACTGCCACCTACAGCGGTTAATAATTGGATCTATGTCCATTTAATTTAGATATTTCTGAGTGTGCCTGAGGTGTAAATTTGAATAAATTAAAATAAAGTAAATTAAAGTAATTAAAAGTGATTTTAAATGATTTTAAATCTCTGAAAAGGTTGCCAGAAAATATGACTTTGAAGTACTTGACATATTGTATCTTGGAAAGTTGAGTATTTATAGCTCTATCTTATCGTGTTCCTATATATATTTCTTGCCGCTTGCCATTTGTATTGGTCAATTAATTGCTTCCAAGTGGGCGCACTGACACGCCTCCTTCCAGATGTCGCTGCTTATTCATTGCGGTTCCTGTCGCTACCACTTTTCAAGTGCTCTTTTTTACACACTCTAGATGATTGCATCCACATTCTGGGTACAGAGAGAGAAATGGGAAGCCTTTTTTAACTACATTTATTAATAAACAAATTTACTAAATTTAACCCATGAAAAAAGGATAAATTTATTAAAATATAAAATTATCTCTACAGAAAATGTTCCAAATTCCAAATTCATTTAATACAGAATTTTTCGCAGTGCCTCCAGCATCCTTTAGCCTGCATCCTGCATCCTTTACACTTTGCCGAGTTTAATCTCGCGTCAAAAAGAGATGGCAAGGTGTGAGGAAAAGAGACATAGAGAGTGAGAAAGGGGGACCTTGTGCTCTACTGAACACAAACAATTGCAAAAAACAGGGGCGTGCTTAGGGGGGTTAATCGCGCGAATGTGGGCGTGACAGGCAGTGTTGGTAAATGCTTTTAGCGAATTAGGGCAGCCAAGCGGAACTTGCACAGCCTCCGGAAAGCTGTTAGCAATGATTAAAAACTAGTGCACTTTACACTCTCCAACAAAGCACTATATATCCCTCCTCATTTGGAGAGGGAGATATGATGAGCAGGGAAAGGAGTATGTAGTTCCGCACAAGATATGAATATGGGATTTGCTTGGGGAATTACCGAAATCTCAACAGGTGCACGCACTTTTCAACAGACACACACTCGGTCTTCATCCGGCTTAATCCCCGAAAAGTTTGTCGAAAAGTTTTTAATTATTATAATTAATTACTTTGATCTCTGTGACTGGCAACTCGCTCCTTCTCGCTGCTATTAATTTACTTGATTAAGATGCGGTTTTTCCTCCCCCCCTTTCGTCCTTATTAAAATGTATTCCACACAATTCGTAATTCGGAAAGTGTAATGAATTTACTTTTCCAGCAAGACCTGCGCTGAATGTGATAGATTTTCATTAGCAAGGACCTTCTCATGTATGTGTTCGTGTGTGTAAAGGGGGTTAAGGCAAAGGGTTAATTAGGGCGGAGCTTTCAAGAAGGATTTATGGGGATTCGCTGGCAAAAGGAAAATTTGTAAGCTACTTTCAACTATGCATAATTTAGGGGTTTTAAGTAGAAGACTTAACTTTATAGTTTTTAATTAACTTAATTTTCTTGATCAGCATCAACAGCCTAGACGATTTAGCCACACTGGGAAGGGGGTACATCGTTAAAATTGTCAAAATTTGTCAACAATTTTAATTTAGAATATAAATAAATGTAAAAAACTTACTCAGAACAGCTTTCCGATTTCAAATTACTGAATTTATGGCTTAGTTATGATAGATTTTCAACTCAAATTGCCTCTGCAAGGGTATACAACTTTCAGCTTCTTAAATTTAACTTCCATTTTTGTTTTTTATTTAAATTATCTAATGACTTAAAGAGTGATTAACTTCTAAATATAGTATTTATGATCATTCCAGCTTTAATTGCATGATTCAACCTTTGACTTTGAAGAAGAACCAAGTGTAGATTTAGCCTAATGACTCTTTGCCTCATTCTTGAAGACCGTCTATAAGCATAAGCTTTTATTGCTAAAAGAAAACCCCAAGCTTTTCGAATTCTTCTAGGCTTGAACTTGAAGAAAAGCTTTAGTGAAGCTGAAGAGAGAGCGAGAGCTGGAAGACGGAAAGAACATGCTTCAGTTCGCGTGTTCTGAATTTCGATGAAAACGGGACTGGAGCAAAAAGAGTCACCATTCCAAGGATGGACCAAGGAGGAGCGGGAGGAGCCAGAGCCAAAGTCGTTGTGGAGTGAAGGCATCATCGCATTGGAGCCGCTGATTGATGGGGAGTCACGCGGAGACAGCGGACAACTTGCAACAAATTAAGCGTCTTGTGTGGTCGAGCGTTGCGGTAGATCGACGCCACCTGGTCAGGTATCCACCACCCCGTCGTCAGCCCCGTCACTCCTAACGTCTCCAGATTCTACCCACCTTATCCTCATACAAGTTATACACTGAAAAATTAAACAATTGTTAGATTTACTAAGGAAATGATGTGATATTTTGTGTCATCATTTGACAATTTGTGCAATAAATCATTATTATGTTTCAGATGGCAGGCAATATAATTTTTAATATATTTTAATAGATATATAAATAAATTTCCGTGCATTATCAACTCCAATTCCAAAGTTCCAGAGAGTGACCACCGCCGGCGATGCCTAAATTCAGTTGGACACGAGCGCCGATGCAGCGATCAAGTGACATTTTATTGTCGGCAATCGCTGGCTTTATTTTATTTTTTGCTTTTTTTTCGCTGCTTCTGGTTCTGTTTTTCCTTTTTATTTGTATTTATTTTTCGTTTTTGCCTTCGGCTGCATTTGCTATTTAGAGGCATGAAAGCAGCGACGGATAATTGACAACAGTTAATTCCATTCCATTGATCGCCGGAGCGTTGAAATGTCGCAAATTTAATTATTGAAGCCGCACGCTGCCAGTTCAATTGAAGTTGGAATTGAAGTTGGAATTGGAAGCGGAATCCTCAGCTGACCGTGGGTGGGCAGCAATGTTAAAGGATTCCAAGGAGGACAGGCAGGAGGAAGCAGGAGTTTGCCAGGAGCGTAGCCTGGACTAAATGGGAGAAGGGTGCTGAAAATGATGCACTAAACTCATTTAAAAATCCTTAAAAACCTTTTTTAATCAATTTTTTAATACTTAAAATACAAATTAAATTTAAATTTTAAGTTCTTTATTCTTAAAGACCCAGTTTTAGTCCCCTTTTTGGACATACCCTTGAGGTTAAGTGGGAAACCCTTAAGCACTTTTGGGCCTTTAAGCAAAAACAAATAAAACGTCGCAGGAACAGGAAACAGAGGATAGCAGAGGAGGCCAGGAAGAGCCGAGCAGGAACAGAAGGAGCAGCAGAGAAACCCAGGAAAAAGAGTCAGAGCAGAGCCCCATCGTCCAGGTGAGTGCCGCCAAACGAGAACCAAACAAAACGAAACATTTCCTGACAAATTTCTGTCATTTCAGCAGGAGCTGGGCATAAAGCTGGCGAAAAAAAATAAAAGAAAATGCAGCGGGGAAAGCGCTCAAAAAAAAACATAAACCAGGACACCAACGATTTGTGCAGTCATCGGAAGCGGAAGCACTGCCAGGAATCGGACTCTCTTCCTCTCCACCTCCAAGGACCAGCAGGACATACAAACTGACTGAAGGATAACGAGTAGAGCAAGGAGGGAGGAGCACACTCCTCTGTTGACTTAAATCGTTTAGGTAAAGTTAAACAACTTGTTCCGTTAATTGTTAAACAAAGCTCAGGCAGTTGAGAAAAAAAAAATACGAAGAAGTGAAGCGCAGAGTTTTCCCCATTTTCTCCCCTTTTTTTCCCATTTTCCTCGGAGATTGACAGAGATTGCTGGGAATAATTGATGGGAAAACTAAGAGCAAACAGTTGAAGGGAAAACTGCAATCATAAAGTTGAAGGAGTTGAGCTTGATTTAATATTATTTTTGGAATGGGAGTTAGTTTAAAGGAATTATTCACAAATATATTAAAAGCTTTAAACAAATACCAAAAACCCCTCTATCTTTATTATAAATATCCCCTAATTAACATCGCAATAAACATATCCTTGATTATTTAAATTAATTATCCATTTTCCTATCCATTTTCATTACTCTGGAAATATGTATAATTACTTCTATAGCCAACTAACTTTTATGGCAAACCTTTTTCTGGAGTATCAAAAACTTTAATTGAGGCTCCTGATGAACCTTTTTTCATGCAATATGTGCACTTTTCCTACATTTGTCACTCCTTTTCCTTTTTTGGCAAAAAAAAAGGGTGAAGTTTCCACCCAAAGTGTGTGTGTGTGTAGAAAATAAAAAAAAATAAAAACGACAACAACAAGCGAAGAGGGGGGTTTAAGAGCAATAGCATCTCCATATGCAGACGTTGATTTCCGTTGCGTTTCCCTTGGGGCATTATCCTGTGCCACATATATATGTCCTTATCCACCCACTTTTAATGGGAGTGACGGTGTGAGTATGTGTGGAAAGAGCATCTGACCCCGCAAAACCCTCTTCTTAACGCACTTTTCAAGCTAAATGACAATACAGCCTAGGAAAAAATATAAATAAACTGGGAATAAATCTACATTTACTTTTGCTAAGGAGAAGATTAATTAGTTTTTTTTATAGGAAGTAAGGCTCATAAGTTAATTAAGAGAAAGGAAAAGAAAAAGTCTTTTGTTTTATATTTTTTATAATACTTTTAAATATATAAAAATTGTAAATATATAATAATAATTAAATTTGTCATAGAGATTTTTTTGTGTTTTGCTCTATAAAAGTTTTCCTTATACTGTGTTTACTTCATATAATTAATTTTATTCATAAATACTAAATCACAAGTAATAACATTCTCTTAATTTAAACAAAAAGCAGTGCGCTTGTCGATAAAGCAGTTGTATAGCTCTCTTCATGTTCCAGTTTTCAAGCAAACATTTCTCTTAAATGCCAAACGAAACTCTCTTAAATCCTAAGCAGTTGTTTCTCATTGGCTAAAGTTAAATGGAAAGAAAGAAAAAGGAAATAAAAAAGAAACAAAAAGAGAAATAAAAGAAGAAAATTCCAATTGACCAGAAGGGATTTTTCTTAAATTTTTTACTTAGATTTATAAATATTTATACAGCTGCATTACATCTAAAAATCATGTAAATGTTTGGGTTTCAATTCAAAGTTATGAACTTTATTTTTATAAAAAAAAGAAAAGTTATTTATTGCATTAATAAAATACCTAAAAAAAGGTGAATAAACCCAAGGAAAACAAAATTAAAATGCATTACCAACAATAAACAAATTTGTCCGTGAAATCTGTAGGGTTTCCCCCGTAAGCAATGCATATTAAATTTATGCTTTTTTCAGGTTTTTTGATTTGACTTCCTTTTTTTCACTCACAAATTTAATAGAAATGTTCAAAATGTTCCGGCAATTAAGCTTCCGTCGCACGAATTTTCCACTTTTGTGCACAAAAACAAACATTTCGAATGGAAAAAAAGCGGGGATTGTTTGCATATTTAATAAAGCTAATCAAAAACACGTCGCGCCCCCTCGCAGGACTCGGAATCTCGGAATATATGTATATATCCCTCGTGTTCGATAGGGGAGTGAGGGGTTGAAGCTGTGTGTAGTTGCACTCCGACAGCATCCTTCACATAATTTATTGGTCCTGGCTCAAGGACACCAAAGTCGGCAGGGAGAGGAAAAAAAATAAACAAACGGATATATCGAACAAAACTGTGAAAAACCCAGCGGGAAACCACCGACGGCAGCCAAACTAATTTGTTGTCATTTTTATGCGACAAAAACGAAAACAATAAATGCAGTAAAAACAAATTGTCAAAAAAATATACCGAATGGGGGGAGGACGCAGCCGAGGAAGATCCTTGCAGCTGCCGTGAAGCTGATGAATTATTGATTTAATTAATATTTATAGTTTTGTGCTTGGTTTTTTTTTTTGTGAAATATAGAAAATTAAACAAGAAAGAAAGCTAACTTTGGCCAGCCAAAGTTTGTATACCCTTGCAGGTAACAATTAAAATATATCATAACTAAGCCAAAAATGCATTAATTTCGATTCGGAAAGCAGTTTTGTGTTAGTTTTTATTAATTAAAAAAAACTGCATACCAAATTTAAAATTTTAAGAAATCAAAATTTTTGTACATTTTTGCTAATTTTAATGATGTAACCCCTTGTCAAATTTCGCAAAAATGGCCAAAAAATCGATTTCTTCCGGACATGTCTAGAAAGATTCGCATGTTAATGCTGATCAAGAATATATATGGTTTATGGGGTCGGAAATGATTCCTTGACTTAGAAAAATATTATTTTGTATTATAAAATCGGATTTTTTATATTAAAACTTCTTGATTTTTTTTTTAAATTAAAAATATCATAACTCGGTCAAAAGAGCATTAATTTTAAATCGGAAAACTGTTCTGTGCAAGATTTTCTACAGTTAATAAATCTGCATACTTCATTTAAAAATTTTGAAAATTCAATTTTTTATCAAAATCAAAAATTTTAATAAAAATTTTTATAAAATTTTGCAATAATGGCCAAAAAATCGATTTCTTCCTGACATATCTAGAAAGATTTCCCTGTTGATGCTGATCAAGAATATATATATCTTATAGGGTCGGAAACGTCTCCTTCACTGCGTTGCAAACTTCTGACTGAATATATATATAGGTTTCCTTAAAGCCTAGATTAACCTTCAGTTTAATCCCTGATCTGACCCCAGTTATCACTCCAATATCAATATGCATAATCCTGCGATTACAATCCCCCGAAAATCCCGTTTGTCGGGAAATCGGGTGTAAGGAAAAACCAAATAACAAATAGCAAATACAAGTGGAAACAACCACAGCAGCAGCGGCGGCGGAAGTCAACAAATGTCCTTAATTAACGATGCCAGAACACCAGAAATTTCGAGTGTCAACTAACAATTTTGTGGGTGCCTGTGTCCTTTGTGCGCCTGCGAGTCCTGCGGCACTCGTTAGTGGAAAGGATTTTCGCGCATATGGACTGAAATTGATGATGTGAGCAAGTGGCACGTAATCAATTTACCAGAGCCTGTGAGTGAGCCTGTGCCTCATTTCGAATGCGAATTTAAGATGCCATTGTCCCACTGCCGCCGGCACCCCCTTATTTTTTTCCAGTATTTTTGGGATTTCAAGGGTGGTTCCAGGTCCGCATTACACTGGCCACCGCCTAGCTGGTCTGGTGTAACAAAATATCCACAGCATATGTCCAACTCGGCGGCAGGATGTTCAAAATTCAATTGGTGAAACTCTTCAATGCGGTTGTAATCCTTGAGGAAACCTACGAATTAAGGATTACAATTTTGTAGCCACTGCTTAACGAGATTAATTTGACAATTAATTGTTTGGGAACTATTGGAAATTAAATTGGAATTATTAAAAATATTTCTAACTTGGGATAACTCTACTTTTTTCGCATACATATTATAAAAGCATTTAAATAAATTGAAAACCCTTAAACAGTATAAGCTGTATATTTTTCAATCTCCCAAATATACCTCCTATAAATTTCACTTCTCACTTAATATTCACGCTTTTATGGCTCAAAAGCCTCTTAGTTAAGTTGATGGGGAGTTCAACATTTTCAAAGTTGAAAGGAGATACTTGAGAGGGAAAGGGGGAAGCACTGGCTTCTCCCCCCTACATGTGGGACATTCATTCATTTTATTTTGTGTCTTATTGCCAAGGACCTTTCGGGTCGCCCTTTTATGTTCCTAATGTCGCATAAACAGTGCTTAATAATGCACTAACCTGGGCGCAACGCCACTAACCGTGTAAAACGCGGCCGAAAATATAAAATAAAAAATAAAGGGAAAGACACACACGACACACAAGGACTTGTCGTCCTGCGCAGGGATAAATATTTAATTCGTGTGCGTTTTTGGATCCTTTTCGGCGTAGGAATTTTAGGGAAAATTGAATGGCCACGTATCAAGGAGATATGAGGAGTATGGGGCTGCCCTTTGTCCTGAATGGAAATTTGACTTGACGAGAAGGACGACCTCTGGGATCAGCTCCTTGTTTACCTGGGCACTCTCGCTTTTCGCTTTCGCCTTCTATTGAAATATTCCGTTTGACCTCTTTGGCAAACATGTTCCAAAATTACAAAAAAAATAAAGGAAACAATAAATGTTGTTTGCCTGGCGACATGTGAGATGAGGAGTCCTTGCTTAATCACCGCTTTCATTATGCCATCAGCCGACTTTTGCTGATTCGCACAATCGGAAGCGATTACCACACAATCACGGGGGTGGTGCTCCGCCCCAGGAAAAGAGGTGGTAAAGGAGGCTTTGAGGGGGTTTTTGCGGGGGCAAAAAGCACCCCCAGAGTGCAATTAGCACAGGCAAACTATAAAATTTCAGTGTTTCTACGTTCAGTGTTTGTCTTGTTAGATACTTTGGCTCTAGAGGAGATCAAGATACAGATATACGTATGTGTATGTAGAGGAAAAACAAAGGATGATGCTGCTGCTCCTGCTCCTTCCACATTGAGGGCACGCTTAATTGGCCTTCTGCGGCCTGGCCCGAACCCCATCTTGGCCCAAGACAAACACGTTTCCACAGCTCTTTAATAGAAATATCTCCAGAGTTCCTTTAATATCTCTAAAATAACCAAAACCTAGTCAGACGTCCGTCGTGGATCAATCAAAGCATACTCCTCGGGCTGTAGGAACTCCTGAATCACCGCATTGGTCATCTTGTTTAGCTTATCCTGCAGATCCTCCCAGTCCTTCTCCTCCGGCAGACCTGCTATATCGGCATTGATCTTTATCTTTGGTATATGGGCATTGGCCTCCGTTCTCAGGGTGACCATATAACCATTAGTAAAAGTAAAGGTGATCATGTGAATCGATTCATCCACGGGCATCCTGGCCTTTCGATCAGGGAAAGAGGTATCCAGCCCAGTGGTCAAGTCCCGGATATGCACCACCTCGAACTCGCCGTCGAGTATGGACTTGGGATAGCCCCCATCCGGGTTGGAGTTTCTTATATTCTCAAAAATATCATCAATCACCTCCTTAGACTCCGCCTCCAGGAACAAGGACAGCGTGGAGTGAAAGCCATAGACTTCATAGATCTCACGCAGTTTCTCAATCAAGGTGATATTCCGGCTGCTCCTCAAGTGACAAGCCATCGAGGCCAGCTGCATGGCGGGTCCAATGCCATCCTTGTCCGGCAAAGTCATGCCGAACATATAGCCAAAGCAATCCTCGAAGCCAAAGAGCACCGTCCGACCAGATTTCTCCAGCTCCAGGGCTCGATTAGCTATCCAGGGAAAGCTGGGTATGCCCTCCACATAAACGAAGCCCTCGACACGGGCCATGGAGGCCAGGATACGGGAACTGATCAGAGTGCCAATCATAATGCAGTTGGACACCTGTGGCTTGGCCACCCGCACCTTGTAGCTGTCCAGAGCCCACCAGCCCAGCAAGGCGGCCAGTTCGTTGCCATTGAACAGCTTCCAGCGTCCCCGAGGATCCAGCTCCGCCACAGCCAGGCGATCTCCATCCGGATCGTTGGCCAGGATCAAAGTGCAGTGCTCCTGCTCGGCCTTCTTGATGCCCAACTTCAGGGCATCCCTACCAGCTAAATTTTATTGAATATAATCATAAGTATTACCTAAGATATAGAGATTCTTGATATTTACCCTCCGGATTTGGCTTTGGGAGAGTAGGAAACTCCGGATCCACATCCTTTTGCTCGGGCACGGGTATCAAGGGCTTCAGCCTGGCCTGGTAGAAGGCCTCCCGCATGAAGGTAAAGCCCACTCCATGGAGCGGTGTGTAGACAAACCTCAGCTGGCTGCACTCGTTGCTCTCCAGGTAAACCGACGGAATGAGCTTCTTTAGAGCCTCATAAAACTGCGGAAAGATGAGGCGATAGGGATCCTCCAGCAAAGGATGTCCATCCAGCATGGTCAGTTCCCAGGACGAGGGTTTCGGCTCCATGTGGTTACCTATATATTCATTAATTCGCTGATCATGCGGCTCCATTACCTGGGCCCCATTCGTCCAGTACACCTTCAAGCCATTGTCCTCCTTTTGATTGTGCGAAGCGGTGACTATGATCCCCGCCAGACACTTGAGCGTCACAATCGTAAAAGGTATAAACGGTGTGGGAACCATGCGACTAAATAGGTACACCTTAAAGTCATTGTTCAGGAAGACGGTGGCTATAAGGTGGGCGAATCGCTTGCTATTGTACCGTCCATCGTAGCCCACGACCACGCCCTGCTCGGTGCGCTTCTGGATGCTGGGATAGAAGTCTATAATATAGGCACAAATGCCCTGGGCCGCCCCGATGATCACGACATCGTTGATGGAATCGAAGCCGGCCCGCATGCCACCTCGCATTCCAGTTCTGAGGTACTGAATCCTACTGCACAGCCTTATGCGTAAAGCATCCCAGTCTTGTTCCTTCACTGCCCCAGTTACCTGGTTGAGTGTCGCCTCATTGCGATCCCACAGCACCCAGAAGCGAATCTGCTTGTCCAGGTCCTCGTCGCCGGAGAGGACGAGTATCTTGAGCAATTCCTGTGGGGACATTGCCACCTTTCGCCTTCCAATGGCCGACATTTTATCTGGTTACTTTTTTTTGTTGGCCGAGTCTAAAAAATAGAAAATTTTGAAACACACACATACACAATTTATTCAAAGGCTGAGTTATAAAACCCTGCTAAAAATGAGAGATTTTACGAATATATGTATATAGTAGGTTATTAGGTAGTTAATATAAATGTTTTATTATCAAATAAGTTAATCCTTAAATATAAACAAATTGCTATATTAAATGCTTATTTAAACCAAAAGTGTTCCTTTAATTTCATTAAACTCTATGCTAAGCCATGAATTACCATTCCTTTATTTTTTTTTAGAAAATCCTTAACCCTTTTCGCTGTCCACCGACCAATTGAAAATTTATGGGCCCAACTCATTGCGATTTACGAGCCCCGGGAGGGAGACACAAGCGGCTAAGCTCCATCAACCGCAAATTGATCCATTGGCCATTTGATTTTGCTGGATTTATGGGCCCAGGAAAAGTGTGAGGAAAAGGGAAAGTCCAGCGAAGACTGTCTGAACTCTGGTATTTGTATGTGTAAAATATATTTTATGAAATGTCCTGGCTTTCGTTCCGTTCGATGCCATAAACACGATTTCAATTTGTCATCAATTATGCAAAGCGAGTCTAGGAATGTGCTGCTCCTCCTGCTCCTTTTGGCCAGTTGGAATGGGTAATTTGCAGAGCGGTAATTGGGTTACACAGGCGCATGCAACATTTATCAGCCACCCACCCCTCCTACTGCCTATTGTCTGATGTCCTCCACTGCAGGTCCTGTGTGAGTTGGCCCGCTCCTGCCCTCCGACACGTCAATTGCATTCTAAACATTCGGCGCCGAGCTCTCAGCTCTCAGTAGTCATGGTCCCCACACAAGCCACAGGAGCTCATCGGCATGCAGTGCGGCATTAGTCCCTTGCCCAGGATAACACGCACACACACACTCGCAACGAAATGCATTTCGCGTCAAATTGTCAGAGTGTTAATTAAAAATGGACACTTGAATAGGCAGAAGGATAGACAAAGCGCTGCAGTTGCCCAGCCTCGTCGGTGGTTGTGGTAATTGTCCTGCACTCTGCCGAACATCCTTGCCCCAGGCCACACATTCGCGAATAAACTCTCAGACCTCAGCAGTCGAGGCAATCATCAAAAGCTCTTTGGGCTGGTCCAAGGAGAGATCTAGGAAGAGAAACTAAAGATTCCATAGATTTACAATACGAAAAGGATCCAGATATAGGCTTTAAAAAATTTGAATTCGAATTTTCCCAAGGCATAAGAAACCTCTAACCCAAAGAAAAAGTGTGATGAAACAATTAAAACTTCATAAATATGGTATACACCAGCCACTTGATATATAAAAACATATAACATAATTGATTTATGTATTCCAATTTAGTGATTAGTTGAAATTTTATAATTTATTGGAATAGTTTCCTCTATACACCGCTTTCCAGTTGATAAACATCAACTTGTTCCCAGGGAACCCAACCCAGAAAAGTGTGATAAAGCAATTACAGACCCATAAGTAGAGCCCACTTGCCTTGTTTCAAGTTGATTTATGGGGCTTAGATTTTTAATGGAGGCAACCAAAACCTTCGCCGCGCTCCCTCCCTCCACCGAGAGTTTCTCTCTATCTAAACGGATTTGTTTTAAGTGCTCTCCCAACTTGGTGGTATTTTCCACATTTGCATAGAGAATGCCCGGGCAATTTACTTTACGGAGGGAATCTCATCCTGCGGCAACAAATATTGAGTGTTTACGGCCCATGGCTCCTGTGAGAGTTACCCCCAGATCCTTACCCATACCATATCGTATACCAATACCCACACCATATCCTATTCCCATACCGAAATGCAGCCTGGCAGATAATGCGTTTGCATAATTTTAATCGCTGGCTGTTGTGTGAATTTTTTATGGCACCCGCGAGTGTCCTGTGTGTGATCTCCTTCTGATTTTCAAGTCGAATAACTAACGCTATCGGAAGCTATTAATATGCTAATCTAATATATTTTATGGCAGACTAAAAGAGGAGGAGAATAACCCCCAAGTCAACCCCCAAGCCGGCTCGTTCCATCAGAATTAAAACCGAATCATTCATCTCATTCGACTCCAAATTGAAATTGACATTTGTTGGAGAATCCTGGAATTATTTGACATTTTTTCATTCCAAACATATTTGGGTAATGCCAATCAGAAGGATTTTGCGCCTTTTGAAAGTACTGAAAGTGGTTTTTAATGTCTACGCACCGGCACTGCGATGATGAGGCTGACATTTAAGGTCCTTTGGCAGCAGCTGGTCCTTGACAAATGTGAAATAAATGCAAATCTCTTTCGGCCTGAACTTTGATGAATCTAATTTTCTAGAAAGACTAAGGGAAATGGCCACATCTTACCCCTGAAATAGTTGGCAAAATCGCCTTTCAAGTTGCCAAATAAATTCGATGTAATTTATTTAAGGACAGCGGGCGGCTTTTCATATTTTCATACATTTCTTGGAAAATGAAATTTACATCATTTGTTTATTTGTATCGCTCATATCCTGGCCTGTCCTGCGGTCACCCCCGCTGGAAATCCTCAGGGAATACCCAAAGCCAAGCAATTCAGTAAAAGAAAAAGAAACAACATTGCAAATTTGATTACCGCCCGCAAAATATAAAAAAAAACGGAAATATATTTTTTGGTTTGTTTGCATATAAATGTCTCTCATTTTTTTTGTGCCTGTGCTGCTTGCCAAGTTCCTTTGAAATTAACGCATTATGTTTATGTATTAGATGCAAATAGAAATGGCCAAAGGACCTTCACACTCGGCTGGCCAAAGGGTCAGAAATCCAATTTTGCAATTGCCATTTCCTGGGGGCAACAGTCACAGGACAGCTTCCTTTTGGCAAACACTTTTATTGCACATCAAATTGCTTCGGTACAGGCAGGACTTTTGTGTTTTCTGGTTTTCCTCTTCCTTTTTGAGTGAGAATTTTAATTGCCAGCATTGATTCCCTGGCATGTGCAATCCTGGCAGCTCGTAAGCGGTTTCGCAATCACCATTACCAAGGCTTTTCTCAATAAAGCTTCCCAATTTTCCCCAACCAAAAACCCTGTCACCTCAAGCCTAATCAGCTGAATGCGATTTCGGTGTTTTCCCTGGCCGGGGGAAAATGTGTGAAAAGCGACGACAACGTGACAGGCTTCAAAAGGGTTGAACTTTGATGGAATTGTTGGCACTTTTCCACCCAAAAAAGAAATGTATAAAATCGGAATAAATAAAAGAATATTTGCAATATATGTTTTCGGCGGGGTTAAGTCGAATGTGTCGCAGTCACAGGAGACCAAAAGCCAGGAACCTGACACTATCTAAACATCAAGTGCTTTTCCTGCCAAAAGGAAACTCTGCCTGTCAATTTGTTGTTTTGCATGAGGAATATTTAAGGAGGAAAATCAAAGGCAGGCGAGGAAAGGTTAAGCATATTGATTGATAGATTTTCTGCCATTGGGTTTGCGTAGGTTTTTTAAGAGGAAATCTGGCCTTTTTCCTATATATAAGATAGATCCTAGATCCATCCTATAAATAATCCATTTAATAATTTAATTTCCTCTTCTAAAATCTCCACCTTTCCCCACCGAATTTCGCGCTCGATTCATTGAACTCCAATTATGACTCAAATTTCGCTCTCATCTCTTTTTTGAACTGTAATTAAGGATTATTGTCATGTCCTGACGCTGGCCAGAGATGTCCTCCTTTGAGCTGGCCTGCAAAGCCGCCCGAGCCCTGGCGATGTGGCAGAAATATAAAAATTATTGATTATCAGCATTGGCATCTCAGCGATTTGTGTTGGCCAACAGTCGGCGCGGTTTCAGTGTCTCAACTCTGGGGTTTTTTTTTTTTTGTTGTTCCCTTCAGTTGGGTTCTCCTCGTTTTGGTTCGCTTCGATCCCATCATTAAAATCATTGTGCGATATCGACACCTCGGCCAGCACTTTTTTCCGCGTTTTTTGTTGCCAATAAATACTCGGGTGCTTTGGCAAAAAGCGAGATCGTTTCGCTTGTCGCACAAGTGTTGTCAACAGGTTCTCCGGAATTCGCCACAGACTCTGGACTCGCTTCAGGAGTTCTTTTTGAAGCGGGAATGGGAATCGCTTTGGTAGTAGTTGTGGATCAAAGGGAACTGGAGGAAGAACTGGCCACTGGTTCTGCGGCGATCGTTCATCATGCAGCGATGACAAGTGATCAAAAATGCAGCAATATTTTACAGCCAGCAGTTTGTTCTTCGTGTTTACAAGTTGATCGCTGTTGGACGATGGTTCTTAAAGTGGGTATGACAAAGTGACACGGGTTTATATAAATATTAAAAAATAAATGTGGGTTATTTATTTATTTATTTACATTTTTAATTTGGTAAAAGCCTTTTCTTGATCCAATTTCTACCAAAAGTAAATTCCTAAAAAATATAAATATACTTTTCTTAAGGGTATTCAATCTCCCATCTCAAACATACTCACTCTGGTGACACATTTCATTCGCTAAAGCAACGAGGAGACGAAGAGGACTCGTCTACCTTTGGTCGCTGGGCAGCTGCTTTCTCCTTAATTGTCCTTATCACTTTGTCATTAGCTTTGGCTGGGCCTCGGAGGCTGCTGGGCTGACTCATAAATATTTATAACCAAGAGGCCGACACTGACTGGGCTGTTGGCAAAGTGCAGATTTGAGAGATACTCGAACATTGATTAAATGTTTAACCAGCGAGTGGTCGAATATGGCAAGGAGTTCATAAATTAAATCAAAAGGGTAGAAAATCAATTAAAAGTGTCGCTGCAAAGTCTTTAACTGTTAATGCCTCCTAGCCAATTCATATGGCTATAAAAGCCAACAATTAAAGTTCATAAATTACAAACCAGGTAGCCACTCTCAGCTGTCCACAGCTACAGGTTCCATATACCAACTCCCAGATTCAGCTCCAGCTACAGCTTCAGCTCCTGCTTCCAGCTCTCAACTCTTGGCTCAAACTTCACCTCGATCTCTTTCGTTGTGCACGTGCCGCGAATTTCCAAAGTGATTTTGGCATTCCATCAAAGCCAAAATCAGTTCCCGTCTTTTGTCAGGGATCAGGCTTAAACATCAAGTTAGTAAA